AGCTTCCTTAGCTTCATACATGATCTTATTTTGTTCTTGTTTCACAGTAAAAACTAACAAAAAGGGCTGCTTGTCTTGGGGGACAGTAAGGAAGGGGGAGATTAGTACGGAAAACTTATCCTAGTTTGCAGCTGGTGTTGGGGAAGACAGAATCCACAGAAGGTATGGGGGAGCAGGGAATGACACTAAAAGCTACGGCTACCTAACAGGGATATCTGAAAGATGTCCCTGGTCAAAGATAAGTTCCTGGGTAACAAAGTAACAATGGCTATTACTGAGCACATACTGTGTGCAAGGCACTATGCCCAAGCATTCTGTCTCACTTAATCCTTTCAGCATTCCCTAGAAGAACAATTACCCTTGTTCCTTACTGTACTCAGGATACAGCAAAGTTAATGAACTCACCCAACAGCCCACAGCCCAGAGCCTGCACTCAATACTAGCCCCAAGACTAAATCATCCTGCAGTTAAACAACTGGGAAACTTTGATGCCCACCCTATCCACCTCCACCCACATGGTGCTTGCTTTCCTTAATTATTTCAGATTCTAGATTTTCATGTTTGTCATCTTTCGGGATTCAGGCATTACTTCCCCTATGAGTCATATTCTTTCCTAATCTCTTCCCCCAAAACATACTCCAGATGCCCTTGGGTGCGGCTGCCTGTAATGGGTCCACAAGACTTTGAGCCCTAGAGGCTGTGGCCCTGTCAATTTTGTCTTCAGATTTACTGTGCCCAGCACACACAGGTGCCCATGCCTTGCCCCAGTGCTCAGTGAATAAATGTGGCTTGGTGGCCAGACACTGAACTGTAGATTCTACCTGCTTTCCAACTCCCAGTTGGTAGAGGAAAGTGAATGAATGTTATTTACAAAACGCCAAGCCAAACAAGACCCTCCCTTCCCCAACATGCTGAAGTTGTGCTGGGAACAGCCAGAGGTCACCAAATGGCCGCCAGATGGTCACTGGCTGCTGCTCTCTAACTCCAGGGGCCTGGGGCAAAAGGCCCACCTGCTCTCAGGGACCTATGACTGATATGCTATTTTAGGGAAAGCCCAGGCAGTTCCCTCCTCCTACTTCCCTCCTGCCATGGGCTCAGAGCCCAGATTGGCCATTCCAAACATCTCAGGAACCACGGTGGGCTGGGCTGAGCAGAGCAGTGACAAAATGGACAGGATCATTTTCTTCCTCCCTCACTTCTGTGACTTGGAGGCATGGACCAGGGGAGACCAGAGGAGTGGGGTGCTCATCTCCAAATAACTAAGATCAGAGGGAGCAGGGCCTGCAGGGATTAGGACCTCTTCCTCCCTGGGAGAAGTGGAAGGATGCCCAAAGCTGGTATTAGAGGAATGGATGTGTGCAGTTTTTCCCAGCAAAGAGGGCTGAGCAAGCTTCAGGGAGAGAGATCAGTTTCCCTCAGCCTCATTTGCCACCATCCCTTTTTTCCACAGATCAGGGAGGCCACAGGGTGGTCCTGAAGCATGAGGGCCTTTGTTTCTCCCACTCAGACAACTGGGCCTCCAGGCCTATGTGTGCCCCCCTCCCCAAATCTTCCAAATCTTCCCTGGGCCTCCAGGCCTGTGTCCCCCACCCCATCCTCCCTGGCTCTCCAGGTCCTTTGTTATCTCCCAGGGAAGATTGCATTTTGGGGTGGGAAGGCAGGGTTCCCCCACAGTCCTCCAAGCTAGACTGTAACCATCTAGTTGCTGAGGAGCCCTGCAGTCTGAGCATTTGAGCTTCTGGGAGATTATGCACCTGCAAGGCTTTCCTCAAACCCAGAGTCTGCAGATCTAAAAGAGCAGAGACAGGAAGAGGATGGGAAAACAAGGCAACCAAGACTCCATTATTTAGGCCAGGGTTGGGGATGGCCCATGCTGTCTCTGGCTTGCTCACCTTCTCAGTTCACCCTTACCTGCTTCCCTGTGAACAAGCACACGGGCTCTTCATTTTCATTTTTGTTTCTTGCTAAACAGAGGAACTGGTTTAACCATGGGTCTATGCCTCTCAATACCAAATTGGTACTGAGATAACTTGTTCCGTTTCAATCAGGACATATTCTTCAGCCTCTTCTCTTGGGTTTTAGTTAACTCCACAAGAAAAGCACTAGCTGTTAATCAAATTTTAGTCGTGCCGAGGATCAATCTAGGGACTCATGCATATTGGGAACTTTACCACTGAGCCACCTTTCCTGAACAGGGATTTTAAAGAAGTAGAAAGACCAACTCTGACATTCTCCTTTAACAACAAGGTGGAAAAACAGTTGCTAAGTGTCAACATTCAGTTCTGGATTTTGCATGGCTTGCCTTTCCAATCAAATTTGCTGGAACTGTATCTCCTCCTCTGGTAACCCAGGTTACCAGGTTATCCAGTTAGCCCAGATTATCAAATCTCAAATGTGTGCATGAAAAACCTCTGGAGTACAGATACATAGGTAGGACATTTATGTCCTAGACAGTATGGAAGCCAGCTAGAGACAAAGAGAAAGAAACCAAAACAAAAAGCCAAACTAACAAAGTTATATCAAGCTGGGTGCTGATGGATCAGGCCTATAATCCTACTCAAGAAGTTGAGATACTGGTTCAAAACCAGCCAGGTAGAAAAGTCTGTGAGACTCTCATCGCTAGTTAACCAGAAAGAAGCTAAAAGTGGTAGTGTGGCTCAAATGGTAGAGCACTAGCCTAAAGTATGAAAGCCAAAGGAGAGAGCTCAGGACTTGAGTTTAAGTACCTATAGTCTCTCTCTCTCTCTCTCCCCCCCCTTCTATTAAGTATGAAAATAGTGGTTATGTCTAGGAACTAGGTAGGGTTTCCAGGGATCCAGGAGGCAGGGTATGGCAAGGGACGGTGTGGGGTGGATAAATGGGCCCTGATGAAAAGTTAACAGGCTAAAACTAGAGAGATACGCTTGTAGGAGAAATAGCCTCATAAGCAATGGCAGTAGTTCACTTATGCTAAGGATGAGCTCTATCACTAGCTACACTCTAGCTTTTCTTTTCTTCCTTTTCTTTCTTGCTTGCCTGCTTGCTTGCTTCCTTTTTCTTTCATATACTGGAAATTAAATTTAGGGCTATAGGAAATAGACATTCTTTCTCTCTCATACTCCCTGTATATTGTGCATAGACTTGAACTCAGAACCTATGCAGACAGACAATCTAGCACATTTCCAGCCTTTTGTTGCTCTAGTCTTTGTGTGTGTGTGTGTGTGTGTGTGTGTGTGTGTGTGTGTGTGTGTGTGTGTGTGTGTGTGTGTATGCCTGCCAGGACTTGAACTCTACCACTTCAACTTACCTTTTGTTGGAGATAAGAATCCATGGCCTTTTCTTTCTGGCTGGTTTCAAACCTCTATTCTCAGATCTCAGTTTCCTAAGTAGCTAGGATTACAGGTATAAGCCAATAGTGCCAGGGCACTTTAGTCATTTTTTTCAGTAGGGTTGCTCTCAAACTGCCAATTCTCTCTATCTCTTCTGAGTAAGCTGAGTATAACTGTATGCCAATTACTGTTCTCTCATCTGCTAGTCACATAGAGAAATAGCTTAGAGAGTCTTGTCTTACCTTTGAAGGAACTGGCACAGTCCAATTTAGCATTCAAGCTTCCACAACTTTTTCTGGTTGGGGTGAAGACCAGGGAACCTGGCTACTGTTAACTCACTTCACATAGTGACTCCTATTTGTATAACACTTTTGGTGGACTGACATCTACAATTCCACTTGATTCTCTAGACCCGCACTGTGAAGGAGACCACATGGGTTCTTCTGACTTGATTTTGTCAGCTGTATGACGTACTCAAAATCAAAATGACTACAAGTGGCAGCGCAGATGGAAATATCCTTCATAATCAGTGTGTGACATATTTCCTACTTTGCCAGTGGCCCCCAACCCACATCACATCACAGTCCCAACAAAGCCTTAGGAAAAATATAGTTTTGGTTCCTTCTAGGGATAGCTCTGTCCTCTCATCTGAGCCCACCCAAGATTTTGTTTTTCAGAGTCCCCCAGGGGGTTCATGTCCACTGGGATTATAGAACCACAGGTTACATATCACGCTGTGTAAGGACCCAGGGAGAGGCCATTTGAGACCCTTTGTGTGGGTTCCATAGGATACTGGAGGTGCTGTGAGTAGGCTCTGATTAACTGCCAAACCAACAGAACACATCTCCCACCACTCAGTGCTTGCTGAACATTCCCGCAGGCTGTAGATCTGCAGGGTCCAACACCCCCCCCACCCCCATCCCCCGTGGACCACAAAACCTAAATTATGAGATTATGAGGCTGGGGAAAGCTAAGATCCAAGGCAAGGGGGGGGAGAACGAGGTGTAGGGGGAGGTGGTTAAGGGAGGAGGAGAAGGAGGATGCCCTACTCATGAATAAAACCAGCTAGTATTTATTGACTGTAAACTATGTGCCAGGCTCTCACTCCTTTACCCTATATGCAAAGTGTTATTAGCCCTATTATAGAGACCAAAACCCACTTCCCCAAGATGCACAACGTCAGGGCCACAGTGCCCCCTCACCTCATCTTCCCAACGGTTAATCTGTCCACATCCTGAAATTCAGGCACCTTGAAGTCGGTGCTCAGATTGACGGAAAGGGACGCCCACTGATAAGTGGAAGAAAGCAGGCTGCTGGGCAGTTTAGCCCGCTCCCGGCCTCTTCACGCCAAGGCTTGGGAACTACAAGGCCCAGCAGGCCGTAGCCAGGGGAGGGGGCGGGGGAGGGCGTGGCTAGCGCGGGTGTGAGTGAGTCGGATCCCTGGCGCCTCGCCGGCGCAAAGCGCTCGGAGGCTCCTGCGGGCATTGGTGCGGCGGTCTGGGCAGTGAGCGGCAGCAAGCAGGAGCCCAAACGCTGGTCGAGCCGCAGAGCGCTAGGAACCAGGACTGTGCCCGGAGCTGGGCAGCAACGACTGGACAAGCTCGAGACTGTGCTCAACGCATTGCGGCGACCTCGCGTTCTAGGGGCCCTAGCGCGCGCCGCAGCTGAAACAGCCGCGGAGACCGAGGACTTTTCTCCAGTCCGAGGGGCGCCCGGTAGGGCGCAGCGTCCCTGTGCTGCAGTCGGGCTCGCCGCGGCGCCGGGATCCCGCCGGACGATGGAGCCGGGTCTGCTCGAAGCGTGAGGCGCCGCAGATCGGTTCTGGAGAGAGGGGGGCGCGAGGTCTGGAGACCCGGGGCGGCGGACGGGAGCCCTCCCCCCCCGCCCCGCCTCCGGGGCACCAGCTTCGGCTCCATTGTTTCCTCCCGGGCTGGAGGCACCGAGCAACGCCAGGAGCGAAGCGCCAGCCGCGGGGCTCTCGCGACCCCGCGAGGACCGGAGCTGAACCCGGGGGGCGACGAGCCGGAGAGAGGGACGCGGGCACTCGCCCGCCTGTACAAGCCACGGCGAGCTTTCCAGAGTCGGAACCGCTGCGCCAAGTGAGGTAAGAGCCGCGGCGCCCCTAGATCCGGGGCGGGCTTGGCGTCCCGAGCGGCCCCCCGCGGGAGCCTCCTGGCCGCGCGCTGCGCCCGCCGCAGCCCTGCCGTGGCCGGCGCCTCCCTCCACTCCTTCCCCGCCCCTCCACCTCCGGGCTCCCTCCCCGGCCCCCCCCCCGCTCTTCCCTCCCTCCGCCGGCGTCGCCTGCTGCGCCCCTTCCCCGCGCTGCGCCCGCCGTTCCTCCTGCCGCCCAACTTTTCCGCCAAGTCGCGCTCGGGAGCTGGCGAGGCGGCGGCTCTGCTGTGAGTCCGGGAAGAGCACGGGTGGGGAGAAGGTAGCGGACGCCCTGGGTTCCCTGGGTTCCTCGAACTTGGGAGGGAAGCCGGAGTGGGCAGCGATGTGTGTGTGAGTGTGTGTGTGTGTGCGCGCGCGCGCGTGCGTGTGAGCGCGCGCGGGTGTTGCATTCCACTCCATCTCTTTTGGGTCCCTATGAGGATATGAGGATTCTCCCGTTTCAGCAAGTAACTTTACGCGCAACGCTAAAAATGTTGAGGTTTTCCACCTCCGGGGAAGTGGGGGTCCGAGCGGGGGGCGGAGGGGTGCGAGTCCGTCGTGGAGGCGAAGGTTAGCTTGCTTTGGACTGCGTTTTATGAAGGTGTCGTCACCAAATGGCTGGATCTGCTTTAGCGGAGAGTGAGGGAAAATTCTTCTTAGGGGGTTGGGGTAATGTTTTACTTAAAGGGTTTCGGAACGGGTCGGAAGTTTGGAGAAGCGGAGGGTGACGGGCGGATGCTGTGAAGCCGCGGCGGGGGGCGGGGGCCGCTCCGTTCCAATCTGGCTCTTGGAGGTGGGGGAAGGGACGAGGGTTTTCTCCGGTGAGGTTCTTCGGGCAGCCGTGCTTGTTGCTTCTGTGGTCCTGACCCCTCTGCTCAACGCTCCCTCGCCCGCCCCCTCCCCCGGGCTTTGGGGCGGAGATTTAGAAAGAGGCAAGGATTTAACATTTGCAGAAAAATTCATCGACACCGTAGATGAGGTTTGGACACAGCACGTACCCCTCTATCAGACAACCAGGCACCGTTTTTGGAGGGAACCTGCTTCTCTTTTCTGAGGCTAGAAGCTGTGAGCACCCCCCCGCTTTGAAAAGCATTTCTACGGTCCCCCCCTCCCCGTCCCCCATTTCCCAGATGTAGCGGCCGCATCTGGTTCCGTTTCACCCCACACGGGCACACCGCAGCCACATTATTACATCCCTTTTCCTCCCCCTCCCCCTCTCCTAAATTAAAACTTGAGATTCTTCAACTTATTCTTACCACCTCCCTCCTCAGAATTTCTTGAGACTTGGAGATGAGGCTTTGGGATTGGGGGAGGGAAACTTACTCTAGATCCCAATTTATTTAGGATACCACCAAACCACTCACTCTCCCAGCTGCTAGTGGAGGATGGTTGGGGTGCTTTCTAGGTCGTGCCAAAAAGACCTTGGGAAATGGTGTCGAGGTTGTAGAGGATAGCACCGGTGAACAGTTCATCGGCTAGAGGTGGCCTCTTTGGCCTTGGGTCTGGCCTGGCTGTGGACCTGACAGATGTTTCTGGAACCAAAGCATTGCCTTCTCTTCCCTTTAATTATAGCCGGAGTTGAGGGCGCTTCTGCCAGGGTGCGGACCTCGCTGGCCCATCTCGCGCCGCCCCTGGCTGGCTAGCCTGTCTACGCGTCCGTTTTGCACCCTCCCTGGACGGATCTGGGCGCACAGGTGGGGCTAAGGGCAGGACCATGGCTGTCAGAGGCCTTTCTGGATGTTTTTTCGGGTGTTATCTGAGTTGCAGTCAGAAACTAAAGCGAGGTGTTTTACCATTTAAATAACGGCTACAGGTTTGAAAGTGGGGTGAGGGTGGAGTGTCGCTGTTGTTTGAAATGTGCTGTGAGGCCGGAAAGCATTTCGGGATCCAAAATTGCGGCAGGCCAGAGAGAGTTGGTTCCTCTGCTTTCCAATCTCAAATTGAAAACACTTCTCTGGTTTCCTTCTTGGGTCGGTAGTTTGGGAGGCTGTAATGAAATCGCACTTTCTCGAGACATGGTAATTAAGGTGACTGTTTCCTTCGCAGATGTGCCCTGCCCTTTGCACACTCCCTCCCCCCCCCACCAGACCAGTGTTTTTTTTTTTTTTTTTTTTTTTACTATCTAAATTATAGAACCTGTGCTTTGAGACTGTTTAGCAGAAAGTGACCATTTTCCTCCCTTGGCCCAGACTCCCTATTTCCTTTCTGAGGCTTGTTTAAAAGCTAAGTAGCAGGGCCCCTGGGACGGTCCATGGCCTGGCTAATTACCACATGCCTGGGTCATCTCTTCCTTTCAGTGACCGAAGGCCAGCAAGCTTGGCCATTGCCCAATGTCTGCCCTGATGGCCGGCCTCCCTCTCTAATGACTTGTTTACATATTTCCCCCCAGTTGGTTGGGAGAAGCTCCAGGGAGTCTGCTGCTCTAGCTGGGTGACAAGCTCCTTGAAATATCTGTTGCATTTACTCCTAGTCAAAGCTGAGCGTCAGCTTTTTAATGAGGACCATCCGGATTGAGAGCCACTAGGACTCAGACACTCACATGCCAGCAAGAGGGCAGGCGGAAATGTCCATTTCTGAAGTATTTTCACCATGTGGATTTAGGCCAAAGTGAGCACCACTTCCTTTGGTTGCAAAGTAGACAACTTAGGGTACTTCTTTTCCTTGGCCTCTGGCCATGGAGGATGTTAGAAAGTTCCATTTACTACCCTTAGAATAGCAAGCAAAGCCCAGGGGGAAGAAATAAAGGAGCATCACAAATGACCTCACTCCCTCCCACCTTGGTGAAGAGGGTTAGAATGCATCCAGGCATCCCTAAGCCTGGGTTAGTCCTGTGAATTAAGCATTGGGTAGGCAGACTGCAGTCTTAAGGACCAAGGAAAATCCCTGGGTTTTGCTTTCCGTGATGCTGTTTTTGTTTATTTGAGGTATTGACTTGAAACAAGCCTCCTAAAAAAGGAGATTTATTTGCTTTTGTGAGTGTAAGCAGCCAGCTTGGGGGTATTAGCACCTAGCTTCTCTGAAGGCTCTTTTTCTTCCCTCTAGTTTTTGTAATTTCTTTAATCAAAATGGCTGTTAGTTCAAAAGCTTCCTATGAAGTTTAAGCCTATTGCTACTGGTGGAAAAGGAGTTATATAAGATTTATTCCAATGTCTTGTTCTGAAAGAGCCTTACTCACTTGAGATGAGTTTCATTTCCTCTTGGGAAATTTGTCTTCCCATTTGTCTTCCCCAGGGCTCTGTAAAAGGTTTGAATGCACTGGGGATGGTGGGAGTCCAGATGTAGAGCTTTAGAAAAGGCTCTGGTGTTTCCAGAGGGGATTAAATACCAGGCGTGATCTAGGATATTTGTTTTTCCTCTCTAAGGTTAGATCTGCCTTAAACAGTAATTCTCTCCTTACCACTACCCTTGCAATAAGAAGCTGTGTTTGAGTCCATCCCAAGCCTCCAATAAAATAGCACTCATGGAATAAAAGAACCCAAAGAATATGGCAATAATGTCCCTATATGTTCTTGTCTTTAGTAGGCATGTTTCTAAGTTATGTGGCATTGTTAATGTTTTAATTTATTGATGGATTAGAGACAAAAAAAACCATTTGAGGGGGGCTGGGAAGATGGTGCAGTGGTAGAGTGCTTGCCTTGTATGCCTGAGGCCCTGGGTTCGATTCCTTAGCACCACATAAGCAAAAAGAAAAAAGCCGGAAGTGGCGCTGTGGCTCAAGTGGTAGAGCGCTAGCCTTGAGCTGAAGAGCTGAGGGACAGTACCCAGGCCCAGAGTTCAGGCCCCACAACCGACCAAAAAAAAAAAACCAAAAACCACATGTGGCTAGAGGGAACAAGTAGGTCTGTAGCATAGAGTATGAAGATGAAGGGTATAAAATACCATTGTTTCATTTTTTTTGTTCAGTACTGGGGCTTTAGAAAGGTAGGAAGGTCAGAAGTAAGTTTATCTCCCAAGAATACCACTAAGGAGTGTTTACTGTCATTCCTCATGTAGTACTTAGAAGAGCAGACCTTTCACCATGTTGCCATTTTGATCCTCATAACCATTTGATATAACCAGCCATATGATTTAGTCCCTCCAACAAGTGGGAAACTGAGGCTTAGGAAGATTAACTGACTGTCCAAAGATGGGAGGGTCATATAAATGGAAGAACAGGCATTCATTTATTAACTTCTCCAGAGAAGAGGAAGACAAAAACTTAGTCCTGAACTTGTCAGCTAGTTTTCCTTCCATCATTTTTAGATGTTGGTGTTGGTGTTCATAAACTCTTTCTGTTAGAGTTGGGGAGAGGTACAAGGTCACATGGTTCTAGCATTTTCCCATCAGACCCTTTTCCATATCTTCTGTTGGATGGACATTTAGAGAGGAGACTCATTTTCTTCTGGATGGGCTCTTGAAAGAGATATCTGTAGTACTTTCCTGCATGCTGTCATCACTCCTCATAACCATCTAGGATGTAGGCAGGGCAAATACTAGTGGCACATTCCCTTGCCAGTATAAAAACTGAGATACCATGTTCCCCTTGGAGGGAACACCTAGGGGACATTGGGCTCTGACTCCCAAAAGAGGATGAAAAGACTGATGGGGAGCCAGCTGGAAGGTCTCTGGGGAAGCTGATGTGTGCACCTGTGAGGCTGTAGTCACATCTGTCAAGCTGTGAAGGAAGGAAGCTGTTCCTCAGGGCTTTTAAGAATTCATTAATTAGTAGAAAGCAAAGGAGGTGAGGTGGCAGTCCTCAGGATCCCAGGCAGCATGTGGATTAGCATGCTGTCACTGCATTTTCTGTAGTTGTGTGGAATGGGGTAGGTGCCCACTTCTCATTCTAGGAGGCTTTATATTCTTAGCATCTTTGTTTTACAAATAGGAAGCTTCAGGCCTAGAGGAGTAGGGGAGGGAAAGAGGAGAGATTTTTGGTACCTTTTTTGGCAGTGAGTTTGAGGGAAGCTGCTAGATGCATTTCAAATGTACAATCCTGAGGGCTAAAAGAAGACAATCTATAGGCAGCCTATACCTGTAAGGAGGTGGGTAGGCTTTTCAGAGGACAGGGTGACTGAATGGTGTTGTAAGTTAATGATCTACTACAGGTCCAAATTGGTTGGATGTGTTTTGGGGCTGTAGTACCATGTGAGTTTAGGAATGTTCTCCAGTGAGCTTTACTTCTAAAATAGGCCTGAAGTTGTGTCCATCCTGTATCCTGGATGGCCCATCTGAGATCTTCTTAGGACTAAGGATCTTTCTGTCCACCAGAGGAATAGGGAATCAAGACCCTTTAATTCATAGAGTTAACTTGGGTCTGAGTCTTTTTCTTTTTTTCTTTTCTGGTGTTTTGAGAGAGCCTTGTAGCCCAGGCTGGCGTGAAATTCTCAATCCTGCCTTAGCCTTCTTCCTGGTATGGAAATCTCTTTGAGGTAGTGCATATTTATTCATTGATTGGTGCTTTGTTGTTGTTGTTTTCCCCTGTGCTAGGCATGAGTTCTGCCACTGAACTGTCTACACCCCAGGTCAAGAGCCAGTTTATTCAATATCTTATTTGTGTCCTCTAGCATTCAGAAACCCAGTGTTCCAAGTACAAGTGCTATTGCTTACCAACTATGTGTCCTTGGGCAAAGTACTTCAAGCTCTGGGTCCTAGTTTCGCTAGTGCTTAGAGGAGAATAATACTTCTTATTCCCTAGAAATTTATAGGGAGGAATAAACAAGGTTTTTAAATAAATATATGCCTTTCCAGCAAATGTTACATCCATTTCTGGTCCTTTTCCTAAATTCAGAAAAATGAAAGAGAAATGTTTACTTTCTGATTTGAAATAATTAAAATTTTAGAATGCGTTGGTGGGAGGAGAGGGGAAGCTACTTGTAGTGCTTACGGATTTCTGATGGCTGAGCACACATGGACGAAGCCAAGAATCCTGGGGGTTTCTGCCAGCCTGGACTGAGTCACAGGAGAGGGGCCCTGCTTGCTCAAGGGGAGGCAGGGCTGAAGTACTACATTAGGGCATGTTCCGGGGAAGTGGATTCTCTGAATAACTTGGATGGTTCCCTGGAGCATTTAGGACAAAAGCCACCTGGAAGACAGAGATGGATCACCCCCATGTAGCCCAAACGGTGCCCAGAAAGGTTTGTTACTTGTTAAATGTTTAGCAGTCCAATGAGCCTTTTCTTAAGACTCTAGGGAGCTGTTTTAACTTTCACCATCAGAGACCTGAGAAGGGGCAAGGGCATCAGGATCTTTGCTTTAGCTGGGGTCAACATGAGCCATCTTTGAGTCAGTCCTTACAAGAGCACTTGACTGTACAGGGATCTGCCCTTCTCTCTGACCTAACTACTAGACTCTTTTTGTATCAGACATCAGCTGTCACCTTCTATCATTAGAGATAATGGATCTACCTCATAATTCCATGCTCTGAGACCCTTTGTAAATAGCAAGTCAGGGTTGTGTTCTCTCTGAGGGAGGTTGATAGAGAATACCTGTGTCGCATACCATCTTAGAGGTAAAAAGAAAGAATTCTGCAGGGCAAGAGTTGCAGAGCTCTAGGTTCCATCCCCAGCACTGCAAAAATAAACAAATACAAGTACCCTGGAAATATTGTCTTTTAGCTTCTTCCGAGGTCTAGGGAGGTTTATAATGTCCTGCTACTAGTTGCTAACTGGTTGTTAGTTATTTGGCTCCCAGTTCCTAGTTGTTAACCTGTTTCATAGTTGTTCCTCCCGAAGGGATTGGTTTGTACTAAGTGGAGTAGTTGGGAGTGAAATCTTGTCTTGGGGGAGTCATAAACATCTTTACGTCTCCTGCAATTAATTGCACAACACTTTGTGAAGCCCTGACTCACAAAGTGGCTAAATTATTTGGGACTTTCATGAAGTTATTTACTTCTCATATAAATGATCTTGAGGCATATATCTTGGAGAACCTCATGGCAATAATCCCAGCTAGGCTGACACTCAGTGTACATTCAAAATACAGTTATAGATTGAACTAAGTCAGCATTTGATCACTAACTCAGGTGTTTACCTGAGATAAACACTTTAAAAGAGGAGATTTTCAACAGCGATACTCACAAGACACTTTGTTGGAAATGAACTTTATAACTTTGAGTGAGGGAGGTTGGGGAGGAAGGTAGGAGAAAAAGAGGGAGGGGATAACAATGTTCAGCAAGAAATGTATTCATTATTTATGTAATGGCAACCCTTCTGTACGTCACCTTTACAATAAAATTAAATTTAAAAAACAGATTTAATATGGATGGAGCTTTCAGCCCAGGGTTGATTGACTTTGTTTTTTGGGGAGCATGTGGCAAGACAGCACATGGTAGTGGGAGCATCTAGTGAAAGAAACCTGTCCAGGAATGACAGAGAGGAAGAAGATGTAATTGAATTTCCATAATTCCTTTCAAGGGTATCCCGCACTCAGTGACCTAAAACCTTCACTAGGATTCACCTCTGAAAGTTTTACTGCCTTCTAATCGTGCCTCTCTGGGCAACTGCCTTTTGACATGCAAGCCATAACATGAACTAAAACACCCCCTTACTCTAATTAAGAACGGTAACCTGTGATTCAGTGTTGGTAGGCTCAGTTTTCCTTGTTAGACCTTAAGGAACACTTGGAATTGCTTTAAGCACTTTTGGGCAGGGTGACCAGTATGGCATGCTACACCTGTTTGTTTTGTTGTTGTTGTTTTCTCTTTGCTCCCATGCTCTCTTAACTTGGTTGGTTTTTCCCCCCTTTTCCCCAGAGTCAGCTTGAGAAGGAGGATCAAGCTCAAGGTGGAGTATCCATGGAGGTGTGGAGCCTTGTCACCAACCTCTAACTGCAGAACTGGGATGTGGAGCTGGAAGTGCCTCCTCTTCTGGGCTGTGCTGGTCACAGCCACACTCTGTACTGCCAGGCCGGCCCCGACCTTGCCTGAACAAGGTAAGGCAGCAGACTTAGGGTCAGCCTGGACTCCTGAGTTTTGGAAGCAATGTGGGCTGGCATAGAGGTAATATGGTCAACTGGGAAGCTCCTTTCCTAAAGGAGCCATACTTGAGATTGAGTGTCTAGGCTGAGCCTGGTTATAAGCCTTACCAACTTTGTCAGAGGTTGTATGTTCAGGATGGGCTTTTGCTTTTTTCTTTCTGAGGAAAGAGCATTATTAAGACTGTAAAGCCAGTCCTTAACTTAGATGATATAAATGAACAGTGAATTTGGGGGTTAGAACTCAAGTTACACTACAGAAGACATTACAGGGTATGAGAGCTTGATAGTGGCCTCTGGCTTTGAGAAAATTGTTCCAGATATACATCTTCTTTAAGGTTCAGTAGTCATTATCACATGCCAGCCTTTTGCCTCTGACCATGTCTCACAGGCCACGAGGGTGTGCCAGGCAGTCTGCTTTAGAGATACTCTATTTGAAGGATTTTGGAGAGAACCAGGAGGTGTTTGGGCATGGGAGCCTGAGGGGGCATGGGGGCCTACAATAGGTTGGAATTACAGATTATGAGTAACAACAGGAGGATCGCTCCACTGCTAAAATTGTGAGATGGAAATTTTAGGTACAGTACACCTAATGGCTTTTGAAGGACTTGGAAAATTAATGATTGGGCATTTCTGCTGCCAAAGGGTAGTGTGGCTTAGACTCAGTGGTTGGCAAGTAATGGATGAAAGGCTTGGTTATAAAGCAGTGATTGTGTTTACAGGGCTGTCAGGGCCTGTTTAGACGATAGTAGTAAAGAAAAGGAACAAAGGCCATTATGTGAGACTTTCTGGAAGGAGCAGTAGCTAGAGTGGGCCATTCATGTTGCATTCAGTAGTAGAACCAAAGGTAGGATACTGAGCTAGAACCTGCTGGAGACCCACAGTGAGAGACTAACTGTACCATCAGGTAGTGGAGAGAGCACTGCAGAGATAAGTCGACTGCATTTAAACATGCTTAGTGGAGTTACAGCAAAACGCAGTGGGTATGCAAAAGGAAGTATAGTGCTTGAGGTAGATGTAGCATGGAGGGCCCTTGCTAGGTAGCCAAGACTGGCCTCAAACTTGTGCCTGCCTCAGCTTTCTGAGTATTTGGACCAAGATAGTGGGTATGCAAGGGTGAAATAAAGGGCAGCCCAGGAGTCGCGACATGAACAAGAGTACAGAGGCAGGAAGTAGAATGTATATTGGGAACCGTTTGTTGAGTAGGTAGTTATGGAAAATAGTAACACCTGGGAAAATTGCATTTAGTTAGCATTTAAGAAATCTTACGTCATGCTAAGGAAACTATATTTGGTAAGGAAACTGTATTTGGGACACAGTGGGAAATTTGAAAAGTTCAGTGACATGATCTAGCTTTCAGGAATTTTTTTTCCTGAAAAAATTTTTGGTAGTTTGGCAGCTGAATTGGATGATAGGAGTCTGGTGTACCCAAGTTTGCAACCTGCTCTGCCACTTTGAAGCTGCATTACTTGCTTTGACAACTTAGTCAAACACAGTAAACCTTAGTTTGCTCATCTGTAAAATGGGAACAGTGATAAAGGCTTAAATGTGGTGATCCAAATAAAGCACATAATATGTAAAGAGCTAGTAGTTAATTACTGCCGTCACTGTCACTGTTGCAGGTTCTGAATGTTTAGTTACAGAGAGTGAGACTGAAAATAGGCTGGTGCTGTGTAATTATAAAGGAAGGAAAAAAAGAGTGAAGACACTTTAGAAATTGAATCTGAAGATAGGGACACGTTGGATGTTAATTCTAGAAGACTAGAGGAAGACAAGCAAGTGAATCTATATGGGAGTTTTTGGAAAGTAAAGATTTGGATCAGCCACTTAGGATCCCAAGGGCAGTAAGGGCTTTTTCAAACTTTTTCTAACAAACCCTTGGAAGCCCAAGAATGGAGGGCGGAGAAAGCAACCCGTGTAAGGTTTGGGCCCCAGTTCTGTTAGGCAGAAGGGGGCATGTCTGGAAACACAAGCCTAGAATTTTAGAGGGGTGCTGATGATGGAGGAGGAAGAGGAAGAGTTACTGAAGTAGCTGGTTGTGGATCTAGTATAAGAAAGAAAGCAGAGGCCGTGATGAAGGTGTGAATCAGTGGTTGAAAGAAAGTCTTGATGAGGACAAAGTAATGATGGTGAACAAGAGAGCAGGACAAGAGCTGTTAGAAAGCTATAGCTAGTGAAGAATAAAGTTATAGTTTTACCCAACCACTTTGAGGTATAACTCACATAATATAAAATATGCCAGATTGAGGTGTTCAGTGGGATGTGTTTGCATAAATGTCTATATTCCATGGAACTACCACCTTAAAGTGTAGAACATTTTCATCATCCCTAAAACTTCCCTCATTCCCCTTGGTGTAGTCAATGTCCCTTCTGGTCTGCTTTCTGTCACCACAGATTAGTTTTTCCAGTTCTAGAATTTCATGTAATAAGAGTGTGTATCTGTTCACCTGTTGATGGCCATTTGGGTCACTGTATTAGCTTGTTTATTGCTATAACAAAATACCCAACACTGGCTACTTAACAAAGAAAAGAAGTTTATTTAGCACACAGTTGGGGAGACTGAAAAACCAAGATTAGGCAGCCTTATCTGTTTGGCCTGTGGTTGAGGGCACTTCAGGCTGCATTACAAAATGGTAGATATGTCTTGGTGAGAGTATGGGAGAGATCCCCTGGCAAGGCAGGAAGCCAGGGACTCTTAATAACTCATTTTGACAGGAAGGGAACTAATATCAGTTCCTTCTGAGCACAGTGGCCCCCCAGTGGCCTTCATTCTTTTTTTCTGACACTTTGCAACCTTACTACTCTGAGGATGAAGCAATTAACCTTTGGGAGACAGACTCAACCATAATAGTCCCTAATAATTTTGCCTATGATTAATAACTTTAACATTCATGTACAAGTCTTTATGTGGAAATTGTTTCCCTGAATTGCTTTTGTTTTGATTTTGGCTCCACTTTGTGACTGTTGGCTTTAGGGAAAGTTCTTCTCTGTGTGTCTCTGTAAACTTTATTGAAAATGAATATACGTTCACAAGGTCTTTATAAAGATCAAATGAGAATGTCTGTGAAGTTCTTGAATCGTGCTTACACATAGTGAGCAATAAAGAGCTGATCTTAGTTCATTTTTCTGGGAGACCAGAAGACAATCCATATTCTGAGGGGCTTAGAGTGCCTTCCAACACAGCAGTGGGAAGCCCCTGGACTTGGAACAAGAGGAGGTTCCTTGGGTTTTTTTTTTTTTGGTGGGGGGGCTTGAATCTCTGGGCTTGGGCACTGTCCCTGATCTCTTTAGCTCAAGGCGAGCACTCTACCGCTTGAGCCACAGCACCACTTCCAGTTTTCTAGTGGTTTGTTAGAGATAAGAGTCTTACAGAGTTTCCTGCCTGGGCTGGCTTTGAACTGTGATCCTCAGATCTCAGCCTCCTGGGTAGCTAGGATTACATGCGTGAGCTACCAGCACCCAGCATATATACCTTGTCTTACCCAGCATATATACCTTGTCTTAATGTGACTCTTCTACATGGTGGATCCCTCATGAGCTTTGTGATACAGCATATACCCTGCCATCTTCACACAGTAGTTGTGACAGTAACATTGCAAGGGGAAGTCTGTCTTCATAAACACAAAGGAAACTCATATACATAAAGTATATTGTATAGTCTTGGCCATACTATTGCTTTTACAGACCTTATAATTGGTGTTTAAAGATTTCTCCAAAAGTTGAAAGCAAACCATTCAAATTCCTGCTGCAATAAGAGCTTTGAAAAGGTTTCGTGTGTGTGTGTGTGTGTGTGTGTGTGTGTGTGTCCCCTCCCCTTGTTGAATGTGTGTGTGTGTGTCCCCTCCCCTTGTTGAATGTGTGTGTGTGTGTGTGTGTGTGTCCCCTCCCCTTGTTGAATGTGTGTGTGTGTGTGTGTGTCCCCTCCCCTTGTTGAATGTGTGTGTGTGTGTGTGTCCCCTCCCCTTGTTGAATGTGTGTGTGTGTGTGTGTTCCCCTCCCCTTGTTGAATGTGTGTGTGTGTGTGTGTGTGTGTCCCCTCCCCTTGTTGAATGTGTGTGTGTGTGTGTGTGTCCCCTCCCCTTGTTGAATGTGTGTGTGTGTGTGTGTGTGTGTCCCCTCCCCTTGTTGAATGTGTGTGTGTGTGTGTCCCCTCCCCTTGTTGAATGTGTGTGTGTGTGTGTGTGTGTGTCCCCTCCCCTTGTTGAATGCAATTCTAGCGGTCTCTGCAAATGCTCCTAAGGGACCCGGGAGGGCCTGGAGTTTCTGGCTATCCTCAGAAAGTTGATTTAATAAGAGTTCCAGGAAAACCAGTCTCCCTCCTCCACTTCTTGTTCCCTCCTCAAGTTTGTCATCTTAAAGAGCCTAAGTTTGTTTCTGATCAGGCTTTGAAGTTTGTGGGTAGACTGAAGTTGGGTCATAAGCTGAGGGGCAGAATACCCCTTTCAAAATATAAGTACCACCTTAAAAGACATTTTGAGGTCAAAGGAGGATGGTTCCATTTCTCCTCCCCCTAACCACCCCTCCCTCCCCCTCCCTCCCCCCCCCAACCCCAGGATAGGACTTGAGGGAAAAAGGAGTAGATGTGTCCATAACTGCTTGCTGGGTCACTTCTGGCAGTTGGGAGAGGGAGTTCTGCCAGCTTTTCAGTGGTCATGTAGGTTAAACACCTCAGACTTTGGTACAGGGATCAGTGTGTATGAGATATATAGTGTTGAAATATTTGCCTCTGTCCACAGAAACTTGCAACTCATAAGTGGTTTAATGGGCTAGAGTTTTATAGCTCCTCCCACTCACCCAGATTTGAGGGAGTCTGGTGGCCTGCTGAAGAGGGAGAGGTTACATTTAATGGAAAAGCTGAACATTTCCATTGTTGGCTGCAAGGCCCTTGCATGCTGGGTGTGCACCACAAAGCAAGGCTTTGTCTGTGCTCTGCAGAAACCTGCACCCGTGTGAGAGGC